GCTCTTATACCTGATGACAAAGAAGAAGTGAATTTTCTGTACGGAAACAACTTATCTAAAGATCTTAAAAGAAAAAGATCAGCTGCAAGCGTCGCTGCCAAGCCATGATTCCGACTACTTAGCTAGATCAGCTACTTTTTTTTAGTAATAACTGGTCCATGCGAGGGTCTTCATTCAAGCAAATAAACTCAGCAAACTGAATCATTAGAAAATACAGAAAACTGCACATAAGGATTTGTTTTGCTCGCTTCAGTCAAATCTAGCTCCAGCAATTGTTTACGGTTGAAAGAGTCGATTGTTTTAGAGTCACTGCCGGCAGTTGTCGTTCTCCGCTACTTCACAGCGAGTGAAAGGAAAATTTGCGTACAGAAAGATAACAAAACTATGTAATTAAAACTGAAAAAACTAAAGGAAAAAAACTCTGACTATTATTACTTGAGCAACAGAAAAATGATCGAAGTAGTCTTTTCTTCTCGAGTAAGCTTGCTGGCCTTCTAAAGTTCCGAGGAAGTTTTAAGCGCTCAAGTTTGTTCACTCGCAAGCGTTAGCATCACGGTTCTTTGACATAAGACAAGGATAAAGCTGGTTCTGCAAAGGTAAATAAATCTGGGCATGTCAAAAAACTAACCGTAACTACTAATAACAGATTACAAGCGGGTTTTAATTCAGTCCGGCGAAAGAAGGCGAAGAACTGGACACAAAATCAATTCACAAATCGATTGCACAATTATCAGAAAAATACAAACCTCTTTGGAAATGTTCAAAACGGTTTATTCCTCCTCAGACTGACGGATGATCTGTTTTTACTCTAACATTGGTTGTTCTGAATCCAAAGTAATTTTCAAGTGGCGAAAAAACAACAAAAACAACAAAAAAAGCCTTTACAAATGGCAAACGTTCGCACCTCGTGTATTTCATTCAGTCTCAGTCAGAACTCTCACAGAACGAGACAAACAAACGCAGGCGATAAGGGATGCGCAGAAGCTTGCGCAGAACGTTTTTCCGCCCTGAAAGACCAGCAATGACGTCACGTAGTCTCCAGTCTATCACGCGGCCATTTCAGAAACGTTTTCGTGAAGTTTTCGGAAATAATCGGATTTTGATCTTTTATCTTTCTATAAAGGCTTGGGAAGAAAAATCTTTCCCCAAATCTCTCTTAGGATGGTTCTTTTTAGTGTTTGGTGAAGGTAAAGCGACAAAAGAAGATATGTCAATTTTTTGGTTCATTTGACCTTTAACAAGAAAAGGCGCTTCTGAAAGTGAACATGATCTTCGCAGTAGAATGAACAACCTAAGCGTTAAAAAAAAAAACCGAAAAAATTCAGCCTTGACTGGGAATCGAACTCTGACCTTTGCGATGAGCGGATGCAACGTTCTATCCCCTGAGCTGATCAAGCCAATTGGAGAGTAGGCCATTGTTAGTATGTAATGATGGAAATGACATGAATTGAAATATGTGCGAAGATCATGTTGAATTTCATGTCTTTATCCGCAAATCGAACTATGATTTATTTCATATAAAATTTCAATTCATGTCATCTCCACCATCAGATATATTACGAACTCACAATGGCTTGCTCTCCAGTTTGCTTGATTGGCTTAATGGATTGAACGTTGCGTCCGGTCATCGCAAAGGTCGGGGTTTGATTCCCAGTCAAGGCTAATCTAAGGCCAGATATCAAGACACCTTACCACTAACCTACTTCTTTAATAAAATCAAGAAACTCCTGCATTTCGGCCATCTTCTGTAATGACTGTAGCTTAGCAGAGCGACTTGCATACATCATAGAGTCCAAGCCTGCCCAGTCCTGTCAAAAGAGTTTAGTACCACAATACCATATAATATAATTAATATAAATTATGTTACAATTTTGTGAACATTGATGTTGCGTAAGAAAATGAACATAAAGGCAAAGCGGATCAGAGAATGGCTGGATTCCCCTTTTTGAAGTGGATCCCCCAAGGAAAAGGGAAATAAACGGAAACTGAGCTAAAAACATATCTGTACCAATGCAACTTTTTACATGAACTCTGTAACCTACCTGAGCCAAAACCTTTTTTTTTCTTTTTTCAGTCTTCTTTCACCAATGATCCTAAGACCTAGGTCTATTTATACAATTTACAAGTGTCTTTGTAAAGCTAAGGAATATACATTTGCAGTACAAACACAAAACAGTTCGCAACAGGAGTTCCTATATCTTGTGGTTGACAAGAAAACCTACCACAAGAAAAGTTTTTTCATTGTAGTCAGCATAGTAAGATGCTCTATCGTAGTCATCTTGAAGAACATACAATAGGGCGAGACTGTCACTGTGGCGATTCTGTAAATGAAATTAATACTACAGTTCAGTAGGAAGATTACCAAGCAGTTAAAACCGCTAAATGAAAAGGAGACTATACCCAAGGTAATGTTTTACCGGGAGCAAATATTCGTTTCCAAAAAATACTGGACGGAAACTCAAAGAGAAAAAACTTTCACTCTCATCATTTAAATCTTCTTACACGAGCAGTAAGTAAAATTGAACTATCTGTTTTTCGTCAGCAGTTTAATGCTGTTTGTCACTTACATTACCACATCAGCAACACAGGGTTCACTAGTCTCTCTCGCGGTCGTTTTAGTCTCGTCACGTAACGCTTCTCCCCAACAAACGGCCGCTCACATTCGAACCACATTCCTTTCTCCATTTGAGCCAATCACAGCTATGGTTCTATTTTTTGGAACTGTTTCGCGCCAAATTATTCTTTTATATGCCGTCCAATCATAGCCTGCATTCTATTGGATCATGTCTTGTGTCAAGTTGTCTCCTAGAAGGCCGTTTTAATACTGTAACTGTTTTGAATTAAACAGATTTAAAATTGCTACGATTTGACTAACTACCCAGGGTGGGTATTGAATTTCACGTCTACTAAAAGCGGTATTTGTGTTTTCTTAAAGGCGATTCCAAAGATTTTTTTTAGAAACGCGTTTGCTTTATAATATAATATCAGGTCTGCGTCTGCATGTGACAGGACTGATGAACAATCTGATAACAATTAGGTCAGTTAGCTGTTTCTTGCCAAAACTGATTTTTTTTTCCTCAGTGGAAAATTTACTGATCCAGCTTTTATACCAAGTATTGTACAGTTTAAAGTCGCCCATTTAATTCGCCCATTCAATCCATTCAGTTTTTATGAAAAGCAAAACAGAATGTCGCGGCTGACACCTCCGATGCAACTGGAAATCTCAGGGGCTAACTCTTTGAGCGAAACCTGACGTTATTTTCATTTTGCTTTTGTTTTTTTCCGTTTGTTGGGGAGGAGCGTTACGTGACGAGACAAAAACGGCTGCAAGGGAGACTAAGGGTTCACATGAGAACACCTAGTCACCTGACTAGTATGCATCCACACCCCAATTATACCAGGCCGCGATGCGGCCTGCCAGTATTATGGAAATTATATAAACAAACGAAGTTAGAAATACAGTACAACTTTGAAAACCAGTTCAAGTTTGCGGGGGTTCGAGTCATCGCGGTTGATTGAATATTCAGTTTGCAATGTTAACACAAGATAGTTGCTGATTCTTGAGCACTTCAGTGTACAGTAACCTGCAAATTTAACTTATTTCATCAGAAACGGTAACATAATTACGCCTTTTTACAATAATCCATTATGTCTCCATTGAAACAATTAAAACCAAATTGCTGTAGTGTTAGCTTTTAGTGTTTTTACCGATTAACCGACAAGAAAAGCTAATAGGATGGCATCCGCGTGGAGTTACAAGAACCAGAATTTTTAAATGTTTAAAGAGTAGACAACGTAATCGGATAAGACGGTTTAATATAACATTAAAACAAAGGTCTTAGAGGATGGAAATAATGCGCGTAGGTTTCGTGTAGCTTTGAGATAACGACGTAAAAGGGCTGGATAGAGTGTCTTGTTATGTGGAAAGGATACAAAAAAAGGCTGGAGTAACTGTTGTGGAGAACCTAGCTTTCTTGGCGTAGTCAATGTAAATGAGACTCCCTCGTGAGCCACGCGGTAGTAGCGGAGGTCAAGCTTCGTAAGGGACGAGACTTGTTCCAGACACGAAACGGCAAGCACATATGGAAGCACGAGTGGCTGAGAGAAGTATTCGGGTAACGTCTTCTGAAAATCCTTCTGTTTGATGTTGATCCCTGATATGTGATATATGAAAGACGGCTAGGTGTATCCTTAGATACATTGGGTGGTTTCTCAGAGAGGATGCAGGATCACTCAGAAGGTGTTTGAGTTTGCGATCATAACAGGATTCTTGACAAAGAGGTTCAGAAGAGCTCGCCACCAGGGCTGTGCCTGCCAGACTGGTGCGACCGGGACTAGATATTCTCCGTACTGAGATATCTTTTTCAGCAGTGCTGCACGTAAGCTGAAAGGGGGGAAAGGCGTACCCTTCTGGGCAGGACCAGTCTGGAGAGGGTAATTGCATCTGTGTAAGTAGCGCCTGCAATACTCGTCACAAATCTTGAAACACTTGTGTGATTTCCCCCTTTCCCAATGTTGATTTGGGTATTGCAGTCATCTCAGTGCTCCAAAATACGCGTGGCTCACCATTAGGGAAGGAGAGGGGTACATTTGAGTGAGAACAAAGGTGTGAAGAGTGAATGAAAGAAATTTGAAGAAAATTCAAGACAAATGCCTTCTGTTTCAACGATTTGTGACGAGTATTGTGGGTCTGGTTTTCAGCTGGCATATGTTGGAAGAAGGGCTGTTTGGTGCGAGGCAAAAAGATCGACATTGCACTTTTTGATGAAGGGATGGATTACCATTTGCTGGAATCGTAAAACTCGCGTGATTCTCTGTCTACCACTTCGTTGTGATGAGATGCCTGTAGGGATTTTATGAGCTGTATTTGTAAGTGCCGTTAATAGAGGAGGGCCTGCCAGATAGCGAGGCAAGCCGCCTCCAGCGTTCCATTTATGCTTGCCACTTCCCGAGCTGCTAGGGTGGGGTTGCATAGCATCTGTTGACGCTTTTTTGAATGATCAGGATTTTTCCTCTGGAAGACTGAATGACATCATCAGTGAGTTTATGGAGAAATCTAGAAATGTCAATGACTGGGTAAGTTCCAAGACGGACTTTTCCCAGTTAATGGTGAAGCCTGCCCCGTGTAGGAGATGCAGTATTAGCGAGTGTTGGCTCTTGACTCCTCTACGGAGCTGCCCAGGATAAGACAGTCGTCTAGATACCTCTCTTTCGCAGAAAGGCAAGCTGCTGGTTTTAGCAGCTTTAAAAAAATCTGGAAGCTGAATTTAGCCCAAATGGGAGGCCTTGAAAGGCAAATGTTTCGTCTCTCCATTGGAAGGAAAGGTACTTTTGTGAGGACTCGTGTACATGGACGGAAAGATGTGCGTCCTTTAAGTCTACGGATCTCAAAAAGTCTCCCCTTTTTCGGAGGGTCGTTAGGTAAGAGATGTTTTCCATTTGAAAGTGGCATTTTTCTACAAACTTGTTGAGATGGCTCCGATCACAGGGCGATGAGGCCCTTCCTTTTGGGGGCTAGGAACAGACTTCTAAAGAAATTTCCCGTGTAAAGGGTATTTTCGTTATTGCTCCCCATGATAGGAACTTCAACACCTCTGCATCTATAAGGGGAGCTGTTAAATCCAAAATTTTGTAACTGGAATGTGTTGAGTCTTGGTTTGAGGCTCCATTGTGGGAATCAAACGGCCGATAGCTTTTTGATCGGTTTGACTGAGACTTAGTGAAGGTATCTGTGTACCTAGGGCGTTGCCTGTCCCTGTTAGTCAAATTTTTCTGCTATGGTTGCTTGGGTTTTCAAATATTGGATAGGTTCTTGGCTAGATGTTGGAAAAGTTCTGCCTGTTTAGAAGAAACGAAGAGAAGTCTTCTCCAAACAGAAACCGTTTCGCGTCGGGAAGTGGCTGTTTAGCCAGACTTATTTTCTCCCTAATAATGTTAACAAGGACCTTCGTCCAACGTAAAACAGACAACTGACGATTAGCTGAGCACAAAAAGCAGAGTGTCTGTTCGACGATGCTCTTAATTTCCTTACCCCTTTGGACTACAGCCATCTCCTTGTCAGGACCTTGCACGTTTTTTTTTTGTTTGTGGAGGACTAATTTGATTTAGCACTGAAGGATCTAAGGTAGGTGTTGAGACAATCCGCTGAAGAGATATTGTACTTCCCTAGGATTTCGTAAACCTAATCATAACTCAATTTTCTATAGAAAGTTTGTCTAAGAAGGAATCCAGACTCCAATCTCTGTGGGTTCCTAAAGTCTTGTCTTGTTTGAGCCGAATTATCGTACTACACAACCGACTCAGCGAACTCAACCCTCGAGTCATCGGTTGCTGTGTGTAAGAAGTCTTATTAGTTCGAGGCATAACCTTATCCGGTCTTGGTTTTAAACCAGTAGTACGTTACGCGGGAGAATTTCCGAAGGTTGTTCGAAGCGAGACTCGATGGTGGAGACCCGGTCATTGGTCTTCGCCGTGTCTTTTTGACTTTGCTGTAACGAACAGAGGATTGAAGCCTAAGCTGCTTTCGGCTGCTGAAGGCACAGAATCTGGAATTTTGCACCTTTTAGGCGGACCGCCGCTCGTCGTGTGCGAGCGTTCGCGATGGCGGGCAGGCGAAGGCGAGTGATGATACCGCTTTCATTGTGACATCGTTTCCCACAACCGGATAGGTCGAGTCAGTTTGAAAACAAATAGCTTTGAAAGCCTTCCCGCTACTGAGGAGGTGTAGATACAGCTGAACAAGGGGGCGGGGGGGGGAACCAAAAAGAAGCAAGGTTAAGGTTCACTTACCTGTCATGGTTTTGAAGTTCAGCAGAAAAAGGAGCAGAGGATCATGAGACCATATGCTTGTACAGGGGCACCATGAGATTATATCATTTGTTTAACCTGTTCCCGGTCTGGCCAGGCTTCCATATGTGTTTAAAAGTGGTTCGAAGTACAGATACGTGGAATTCTACCTGATGTTTTCTCATATCTATCGAACGGAGTTTGTGTTATATAATTAATTATATTGCAGTTATTATTTTAAGCCTATTATTATTTTTATTACGACTTTCTTACTGACAGCTAAGTTTATTCATGTAAGTAACGCATTTCAGTGATTCATACCTCTAACAATATTCTTCTGTCGTTGTGTTGCATCGCTCGAGCGACAAAAGAATTCAATGTTGTGTCTCCTTTCCCCTGATATTGCAACTTAAGTTTGCTTGTTATCAGATACGGAAGATAGTGTTCCTACAAAATGGAATCAACGTTTCCAGTCACTGGTAGTAAGCTATCTGCAAATCACTGTAACAACTTATTAAAACGTTATTCACCTGAAAATATGTGTCTGTCCACCCTTTATCTAGGTCTGGAGGATCCTCTTCATCTACGTTTAACACTGAAAATTTTTCCAAGTTTTCCCACTGAGATAAGTTAGCAAAACACTGCAATAAACACACATATTTTGGAGTCATTATGGCCAATTCCTTGCTTTACATTGCACATTACATTGCTACATCAAATTTGAAATAACTTTACAAATGATTAGGCTTGAGGTTTCAGTAATGTTTATAGCTTTTACTATAGAACAACGTATTGACGGCTTTCAAGTTGCAAACATTTCGTGACCTACTTAGTAATATACCGTATAGAATTAAGCTTAAAAGCGAAGCATCCGTTTATAATATTTATAATGGAAGCTATTAACTATAATCAATGAACTTTAGGCCATCGAAAAGAAATCTTCAAATCTATACTCACTGACTTTAGGAACATTCCATTTAGATTGGGTGACAAAGAAAAAATATCCCTCAAACACACCTCAAATTTAAAACCCTTCGATCGAGCTAAAAGTCATTATGAATCAAGTCCTATCACTGACGTAGGCTTGGAAAAGAAAATATTTAAAAGCCTGTGTATTATAAACCTAATAAAAGGATGCCAGGCATCGTTTCGGACCTTGAAAATATGCATTATCGTACGTGACAAGAAATAATTACCCCGGACATCATAAGCAAAGTTAAACCAGACAATAAATAATAAATACTGAAGCTCACTTGAGATGCAGTTACTAAAAGGCAGTAAGTGAGGTCAGAAAAGCGTAAGGGCTTTTCTGTGTAATGTGCTGTTCAAAAACGTAATCTATGAATCCGGTTGACTTGAGGTGGCTCGATACAGTTTTTCAGGGACAATACCTCCCAAGTTTGAGCATAAACTACGACGCCATAAACAAAGATTTTGAAAAATTGCCACCACAGATGTATCAGATAAAGATTAAAATTTGTTATGATCAGGGTTGCAACGACATCGGAGTTGTCATAGCAATGAAAAGACGCTATTACCAATTTTACTTGCAGCAGTATATCTCGGCACTGGGAATTTTTCTTCCAAAATCATTCACGGGAGCTTTTTCCTCCAATAGCGGCCTTGATGTTCTTCTAATCTGTGAGAGCGTTATCGAGTTATTTTGGGGTGAAGTTCTTATGGTTAGAAACACAGTAAAAAATGGAAAATCTTGATGTTTGGCTGGTATCTGTATGAAACAAAGCGCTTTTGACATGCAATTTCACATCAAAGTAGTTTCAATATTTTTAGAAAACGTGTGTGAAAGATCATGGAGATAGCTCCAGCCGATTGCAAGAAAGAAGGGTTTGATTAGCATGTATCGAAGCACTCTTGTTAGCGGTTTTGTAACCATTTTGGTCTTCTTTAACAAATTAAACTGCTCGATAGACTTTTTAAAAAAGTTAACATTCTTGAGATTAACCTTTCTTATATATTACCAATCAGTTTCAAGATTATTGATATATGGTAAGGCAGAAAAATAAGGGCTACAATTCGTTAATTTTTTATCGGAAGTTTCGTCATTACAAGTGAAAGCCTCTCATCATTCAAGGTATTTTCTCCAAGTTTCATTTTCACGTGAACAGCGGTAACTAACAATGCATTTGAAATGTGCAAAAATGCTAGCTATTTTTGTGCCCGAAAACATGAAACTTGGAGACAATACCCTGGATAATGAGAGGCTCTCACTTGTAAACACAAAATTACTGACAAATTACTGACATTAGCGAATTGTAGCCCTTATTTTACTGCCTTACAATACATAAAATCATCTTGAAATTAAAGGTACTATAAAAGAAGGTTAATATCAGGAATCTTTAATTTAAAAAAAAAATCTATTGAGAGGTTTAAAAATCATTCGCTAATTTGTTAAGGTAGACCAAAATGTTAACAAACCGCTAACAAGAGCGCTTCGATACATACTAATCAAATCCTTCTTTCTAGCAATCGGCTGGAACTATCTCCACGATCTTTCACACACGTTTTTTTCTACAGATAACAGCCGAACATCAAGATTGTCCATGTTTTACCATATTTCTAACCATAAAAGCTTTATCCCAAAATATCTCGATAACGCTCTTACAGAGTTCCCTTAAACTTCACGAACATCATGAACGATTTTGGAAGAACAGTTCCCAGTGACGAGAAATACTGCTGCAAGTAAAATAGGTAATAGCGTCATTCCGTTGCTATGACAACTCCGATGTCAGTGCAACCCCAATCATAACAAATTGTCATCTTTAGGGACTGGTCAAAAAGTATAGGGGGGGGGGGGG